ATTGTCTTTTTTTCAAATTGAATCTAATTTTATACTTATGTACCAATTTTGATTTAACGGCGCACTTTAATATCATTTGACACTTGCCATGTTTCTTCAAATCAATCTCAAATTAATTTCAAATGTGAAATGTAAACCTCGTTTTCAATTTAAGAATCCTTTGAAAAAAAAAAACATTTGATATCAAATTGAGAAATAAGTTTTTCTCAAACGTTTGAAACCGTGTTTGCTGGGTGTTTGCCAGGCAGCAAAAAATCTGAAAACCGTTCCGAAAAAGGAAAAAAAAGTTGATGAAGAGCGGATTTTTGTCCGTTTACCGATTCCATTTTATGTACAGACAACTACCGAAAATTGTTTGTGAAACGGACACTTTTTTGGCTGTTTTCTCTGATTGAATTTTTTGTTCAATACGCTTTCCTTCCGCACTTCACAGATCTTCTTCCATGGTTAAAAAAAAAATAAAAAATAAAAAATAGTAAGCTCCTGACGGAATTCGAACCCGGCACCTTCTGAAAGCTTTCGTTGCCGGATACGGAAAATTTACGTTTCATTGCTGGCTGGGTACACATGTGTATGTATATACAAAGTACATGCTTATCCGTATAAATCGCGTGCTGTGGTGTTGATGGATATACAACATTTCAAAGCACATTTATGTATACTAGTGTTCGCCCAGCGGTTGAAATTCAACCGATAAAATTAAGGATAGTTTATGTAAGTTGAATGAGCTAAAATAACATTAGTTGGAATGGGTTAAGTGGAGGGGAGTTTAGCTTAGTACTTGGCATAACATAACATAACCATAACATAAGAATAAATAACATAACATATGAAGCATAACACACCACAATATAACATCGCACACTCTTCAGTTGTATTTCCTTTTTATCCCTTTTTTCACCTCTATCTAAATCTTATTTATTTTGGTTCATTTTATGCCAAATGATGTTGCCTTTGATGCCACATCAAGTGATATCATGTCATGTGGTGAAATTGGGTGTGGTGAGCTGCGGTGTGGTGGAATTGGGT